AAAAAAAAAAAAAAAAAAAAAAAAAAAAAAAAAAAAAAAAAAAAAAAAAAAAAAAAAAAAAAAAAAAAAAAAAAAAAAAAAAAAAAAAAAAAAAAAAAAAAAAAAAAAAAAAAAAAAAAAAAAAAAAAAAAAAAAAAAAAAAAAAAAAAAAAAAAAAAAAAAAAAAAAAAAAAAAAAAAAAAAAAAAAAAAAAAAAAAAAAAAAAAAAAAAAAAAAAAAAAAAAAAAAAAAAAAAAAAAAAAAAAAAAAAAAAAAAAAAAAAAAAAAAAAAAAAAAAAAAAAAAAAAAAAAAAAAAAAAAAAAAAAAAAAAAAAAAAAAAAAAAAAAAAAAAAAAAAAAAAAAAAAAAAAAAAAAAAAAAAAAAAAAAAAAAAAAAAAAAAAAAAAAAAAAAAAAAAAAAAAAAAAAAAAAAAAAAAAAAAAAAAAAAAAAAAAAAAAAAAAAAAAAAAAAAAAAAAAAAAAAAAAAAAAAAAAAAAAAAAAAAAAAAAAAAAAAAAAAAAAAAAAAAAAAAAAAAAAAAAAAAAAAAAAAAAAAAAAAAAAAAAAAAAAAAAAAAAAAAAAAAAAAAAAAAAAAAAAAAAAAAAAAAAAAAAAAAAAAAAAAAAAAAAAAAAAAAAAAAAAAAAAAAAAAAAAAAAAAAAAAAAAAAAAAAAAAAAAAAAAAAAAAAAAAAAAAAAAAAAAAAAAAAAAAAAAAAAAAAAAAAAAAAAAAAAAAAAAAAAAAAAAAAAAAAAAAAAAAAAAAAAAAAAAAAAAAAAAAAAAAAAAAAAAAAAAAAAAAAAAAAAAAAAAAAAAAAAAAAAAAAAAAAAAAAAAAAAAAAAAAAAAAAAAAAAAAAAAAAAAAAAAAAAAAAAAAAAAAAAAAAAAAAAAAAAAAAAAAAAAAAAAAAAAAAAAAAAAAAAAAAAAAAAAAAAAAAAAAAAAAAAAAAAAAAAAAAAAAAAAAAAAAAAAAAAAAAAAAAAAAAAAAAAAAAAAAAAAAAAAAAAAAAAAAAAAAAAAAAAAAAAAAAAAAAAAAAAAAAAAAAAAAAAAAAAAAAAAAAAAAAAAAAAAAAAAAAAAAAAAAAAAAAAAAAAAAAAAAAAAAAAAAAAAAAAAAAAAAAAAAAAAAAAAAAAAAAAAAAAAAAAAAAAAAAAAAAAAAAAAAAAAAAAAAAAAAAAAAAAAAAAAAAAAAAAAAAAAAAAAAAAAAAAAAAAAAAAAAAAAAAAAAAAAAAAAAAAAAAAAAAAAAAAAAAAAAAAAAAAAAAAAAAAAAAAAAAAAAAAAAAAAAAAAAAAAAAAAAAAAAAAAAAAAAAAAAAAAAAAAAAAAAAAAAAAAAAAAAAAAAAAAAAAAAAAAAAAAAAAAAAAAAAAAAAAAAAAAAAAAAAAAAAAAAAAAAAAAAAAAAAAAAAAAAAAAAAAAAAAAAAAAAAAAAAAAAAAAAAAAAAAAAAAAAAAAAAAAAAAAAAAAAAAAAAAAAAAAAAAAAAAAAAAAAAAAAAAAAAAAAAAAAAAAAAAAAAAAAAAAAAAAAAAAAAAAAAAAAAAAAAAAAAAAAAAAAAAAAAAAAAAAAAAAAAAAAAAAAAAAAAAAAAAAAAAAAAAAAAAAAAAAAAAAAAAAAAAAAAAAAAAAAAAAAAAAAAAAAAAAAAAAAAAAAAAAAAAAAAAAAAAAAAAAAAAAAAAAAAAAAAAAAAAAAAAAAAAAAAAAAAAAAAAAAAAAAAAAAAAAAAAAAAAAAAAAAAAAAAAAAAAAAAAAAAAAAAAAAAAAAAAAAAAAAAAAAAAAAAAAAAAAAAAAAAAAAAAAAAAAAAAAAAAAAAAAAAAAAAAAAAAAAAAAAAAAAAAAAAAAAAAAAAAAAAAAAAAAAAAAAAAAAAAAAAAAAAAAAAAAAAAAAAAAAAAAAAAAAAAAAAAAAAAAAAAAAAAAAAAAAAAAAAAAAAAAAAAAAAAAAAAAAAAAAAAAAAAAAAAAAAAAAAAAAAAAAAAAAAAAAAAAAAAAAAAAAAAAAAAAAAAAAAAAAAAAAAAAAAAAAAAAAAAAAAAAAAAAAAAAAAAAAAAAAAAAAAAAAAAAAAAAAAAAAAAAAAAAAAAAAAAAAAAAAAAAAAAAAAAAAAAAAAAAAAAAAAAAAAAAAAAAAAAAAAAAAAAAAAAAAAAAAAAAAAAAAAAAAAAAAAAAAAAAAAAAAAAAAAAAAAAAAAAAAAAAAAAAAAAAAAAAAAAAAAAAAAAAAAAAAAAAAAAAAAAAAAAAAAAAAAAAAAAAAAAAAAAAAAAAAAAAAAAAAAAAAAAAAAAAAAAAAAAAAAAAAAAAAAAAAAAAAAAAAAAAAAAAAAAAAAAAAAAAAAAAAAAAAAAAAAAAAAAAAAAAAAAAAAAAAAAAAAAAAAAAAAAAAAAAAAAAAAAAAAAAAAAAAAAAAAAAAAAAAAAAAAAAAAAAAAAAAAAAAAAAAAAAAAAAAAAAAAAAAAAAAAAAAAAAAAAAAAAAAAAAAAAAAAAAAAAAAAAAAAAAAAAAAAAAAAAAAAAAAAAAAAAAAAAAAAAAAAAAAAAAAAAAAAAAAAAAAAAAAAAAAAAAAAAAAAAAAAAAAAAAAAAAAAAAAAAAAAAAAAAAAAAAAAAAAAAAAAAAAAAAAAAAAAAAAAAAAAAAAAAAAAAAAAAAAAAAAAAAAAAAAAAAAAAAAAAAAAAAAAAAAAAAAAAAAAAAAAAAAAAAAAAAAAAAAAAAAAAAAAAAAAAAAAAAAAAAAAAAAAAAAAAAAAAAAAAAAAAAAAAAAAAAAAAAAAAAAAAAAAAAAAAAAAAAAAAAAAAAAAAAAAAAAAAAAAAAAAAAAAAAAAAAAAAAAAAAAAAAAAAAAAAAAAAAAAAAAAAAAAAAAAAAAAAAAAAAAAAAAAAAAAAAAAAAAAAAAAAAAAAAAAAAAAAAAAAAAAAAAAAAAAAAAAAAAAAAAAAAAAAAAAAAAAAAAAAAAAAAAAAAAAAAAAAAAAAAAAAAAAAAAAAAAAAAAAAAAAAAAAAAAAAAAAAAAAAAAAAAAAAAAAAAAAAAAAAAAAAAAAAAAAAAAAAAAAAAAAAAAAAAAAAAAAAAAAAAAAAAAAAAAAAAAAAAAAAAAAAAAAAAAAAAAAAAAAAAAAAAAAAAAAAAAAAAAAAAAAAAAAAAAAAAAAAAAAAAAAAAAAAAAAAAAAAAAAAAAAAAAAAAAAAAAAAAAAAAAAAAAAAAAAAAAAAAAAAAAAAAAAAAAAAAAAAAAAAAAAAAAAAAAAAAAAAAAAAAAAAAAAAAAAAAAAAAAAAAAAAAAAAAAAAAAAAAAAAAAAAAAAAAAAAAAAAAAAAAAAAAAAAAAAAAAAAAAAAAAAAAAAAAAAAAAAAAAAAAAAAAAAAAAAAAAAAAAAAAAAAAAAAAAAAAAAAAAAAAAAAAAAAAAAAAAAAAAAAAAAAAAAAAAAAAAAAAAAAAAAAAAAAAAAAAAAAAAAAAAAAAAAAAAAAAAAAAAAAAAAAAAAAAAAAAAAAAAAAAAAAAAAAAAAAAAAAAAAAAAAAAAAAAAAAAAAAAAAAAAAAAAAAAAAAAAAAAAAAAAAAAAAAAAAAAAAAAAAAAAAAAAAAAAAAAAAAAAAAAAAAAAAAAAAAAAAAAAAAAAAAAAAAAAAAAAAAAAAAAAAAAAAAAAAAAAAAAAAACATATTAGACGTTTCTACAGATTAAAATTTTATATGAATTTTAGTATAATAGAAAGCAATGTGATTTATGTTGTTTACAAGAGTGTACTGTATAGTCTTTACAATGAATTATCGTCCATATTTCTATACGGTTAAGTAGACCTATTGCGATCATTCCGAATATCTTCTTGGTTATAAAACTAATCAACTAGCTTTAGTCTCCATTCAATTAAAATTCTGGTACTAGTTAAATATCGTCCGTACATTCTGCCTGATTTTCGTGTATGCTTCAACCACTCGATAAATAGTTCATGGGTAATTATGTTATCCTTAAATAATATTCCAGATTTTAATGAAAGTATAGAGGAAGGTATAATTAATTTTCTAAGCTACTCGCTGTGAGAATTACATAATATACCATTAAAAAGGATTATTTTAATTTTTACTAATCTCGTTAATAAATCATGTTTGTAAGAAATTGCCCAAAGCCCATAACTCCGAACATAGACCCCGACTTCTACCCTAATATACTGTATATGTAAACTTAAACTCTCAATTAAAAAAAAAAAATTTAACTATTTAGAATTTTATAAACATTTAAAAAATTATTTTTCGTGCCGATGAAACATGTAATTTAATTAAAAGTTAATACCGTAAATTAAAAACTAAAATGCTTATATACTATTTTGTAATTTTAATTATATTAAGAAGTCAAGGAAGGCCTTCAGTATATTAATTAAACACCTTTGTGAGACTCAGAATACATATTAAAAAGCATTAAAAACTGTATTAATTTTCTTAAATAAAATTTTTTAATTCTTAATACACAAAAAATATAATGAATTGAGGCCCTCATAAACACAAGGCTAAAGGCCTTGCTAGCACCTCCTATAATAATGATTGAGTTACATCGATTATTTGTCTGTACTTTTCATACAAATCAGTTTAAAATTATATTACATTATATAACAAAGAAAAAAACATACGCACAAATAAATAAATGCTAATTAAAGGTATTTATTATATTTATAAAGATAGGAATTTGCCAATTAGATTTAATGATAATCCATTTAGGAAATAATTACAGTATATAAAATAAATATAAATTTAATTATAGATGCATTTTTTTTATTGATTATATTTATGTTTTTATGATAATTTATTCATGAAGTATTAAAAGTCTAGGGTAAGACATGATGTAAATATTTATTTTATTCGTCTTGATATATCGGCGAAGAAAAATATTAAACAGTTTTATATACAGCTGAATATAGGTTACCTATAGGGAAGCAACATATGTTAAGTGTTACAGATCGTACGTACTGTACATCTGTTGATATAAATGTCATCAATTTTAAACTATTTTATCAAGATGTAAAAATTGATAAAGAAATTCCTTTGTCGAAATCATTATTTGCTGGTTCAAGAATACAAAGCATTGTTTTCTTTTGTCTGCAGGAAGAAAACGAATCAAGTATATTTTTTAAAATAATACTGGGATTTTCATTTAAAAATTATTAGTAAATACTGTATAAGAAAGGTTTTTCGAGAAGGTCGACTAGTTACTATGAGTTCTTCGGAGACTTCCATTTGTAGTATTTATGAGAAAAAATCAGTGGAAGATAAAGATACTGTGGGGTTTCCTATAGGAGATTCTTTGGATGTTAATTTAAAACGACTGCAAGAGCTATCCTCTACTTTGAACAGAAAATCCCTTAATCAAAAACATGTAAGATATTAGAAATATAATTAATATGTAATTAGGATATTATTAAGAAATCTCTTACCGTAAATAAATAGTTGGGCTGCAATTTAAAAAAAATTGTAGACCTATAAATTCCCACTGTCGTTCGTTCGTCCGTCTGTCTTTTAATTAACGACTAATTCGTAATGCCTATAGCAACATTAATTAATTACAAATAGAATATTTCCTTAAAATATATATTTTTTTAAATATCGTACAAATTTGATCAAGTTATCTTATTCTCAACTGTAATATTTCATCAGATGACAGCTGACATATCAAAATTTAATTTAAAAATAAATAAATGCCTTTTGAATAATTCTCATACCGTATTTTTAACTTAATTCTCTAACAGCAGATAGTACAGCTATCTATCTTATTTTAAAAATTTTCATTTCGAAATGAGAATAACTCGAAATAAATAAAATTTTAAGCATTTAAGGAGCATTGCGACATTTGTAACTCACTCAAGAACATTTAAATAAGAGAAAAAATTTCTGAGATACTTTTTCCAAGGACCCAGATTCCATTGAATTGGATTGGATTGACAGAATAAGGTAACGCAACACTTGGGCGATTTGACAGAGTGCCTCCCGGAAAGATTTCTATGGAATACTGGTCCCTATTTAGGTGTTAAATAAGTAAAGAAAACCCGGAAGACTCTGATAGGTCAGTCTATTGATCGGGTCCGAATTCACGACCAACTAACAGGATTCAGTGATTCTCCATTGGAAACTGGTAGTTGTGATTTCACACATAATGATTGTCGTTTATTCAGATCCGGTGTCTTAACCAAGGACATTTCGAATGCAATGTTCTTAGTTAAGGCATTGGAGCCGGAATGAAGGCAAAAAAAAAAAAAAAAAAACATATTAGACGTTTCTACAGATTAAAATTTTATATGAATTTTAGTATAATAGAAAGCAATGTGATTTATGTTGTTTACAAGAGTGTACTGTATAGTCTTTACAATGAATTATCGTCCATATTTCTATACGGTTAAGTAGACCTATTGCGATCATTCCGAATATCTTCTTGGTTATAAAACTAATCAACTAGCTTTAGTCTCCATTCAATTAAAATTCTGGTACTAGTTAAATATCGTCCGTACATTCTGCCTGATTTTCGTGTATGCTTCAACCACTCGATAAATAGTTCATGGGTAATTATGTTATCCTTAAATAATATTCCAGATTTTAATGAAAGTATAGAGGAAGGTATAATTAATTTTCTAAGCTACTCGCTGTGAGAATTACATAATATACCATTAAAAAGGATTATTTTAATTTTTACTAATCTCGTTAATAAATCATGTTTGTAAGAAATTGCCCAAAGCCCATAACTCCGAACATAGACCCCGACTTCTACCCTAATATACTGTATATGTAAACTTAAACTCTCAATTAAAAAAAAAAAATTTAACTATTTAGAATTTTATAAACATTTAAAAAATTATTTTTCGTGCCGATGAAACATGTAATTTAATTAAAAGTTAATACCGTAAATTAAAAACTAAAATGCTTATATACTATTTTGTAATTTTAATTATATTAAGAAGTCAAGGAAGGCCTTCAGTATATTAATTAAACACCTTTGTGAGACTCAGAATACATATTAAAAAGCATTAAAAACTGTATTAATTTTCTTAAATAAAATTTTTTAATTCTTAATACACAAAAAATATAATGAATTGAGGCCCTCATAAACACAAGGCTAAAGGCCTTGCTAGCACCTCCTATAATAATGATTGAGTTACATCGATTATTTGTCTGTACTTTTCATACAAATCAGTTTAAAATTATATTACATTATATAACAAAGAAAAAAACATACGCACAAATAAATAAATGCTAATTAAAGGTATTTATTATATTTATAAAGATAGGAATTTGCCAATTAGATTTAATGATAATCCATTTAGGAAATAATTACAGTATATAAAATAAATATAAATTTAATTATAGATGCATTTTTTTTATTGATTATATTTATGTTTTTATGATAATTTATTCATGAAGTATTAAAAGTCTAGGGTAAGACATGATGTAAATATTTATTTTATTCGTCTTGATATATCGGCGAAGAAAAATATTAAACAGTTTTATATACAGCTGAATATAGGTTACCTATAGGGAAGCAACATATGTTAAGTGTTACAGATCGTACGTACTGTACATCTGTTGATATAAATGTCATCAATTTTAAACTATTTTATCAAGATGTAAAAATTGATAAAGAAATTCCTTTGTCGAAATCATTATTTGCTGGTTCAAGAATACAAAGCATTGTTTTCTTTTGTCTGCAGGAAGAAAACGAATCAAGTATATTTTTTAAAATAATACTGGGATTTTCATTTAAAAATTATTAGTAAATACTGTATAAGAAAGGTTTTTCGAGAAGGTCGACTAGTTACTATGAGTTCTTCGGAGACTTCCATTTGTAGTATTTATGAGAAAAAATCAGTGGAAGATAAAGATACTGTGGGGTTTCCTATAGGAGATTCTTTGGATGTTAATTTAAAACGACTGCAAGAGCTATCCTCTACTTTGAACAGAAAATCCCTTAATCAAAAACATGTAAGATATTAGAAATATAATTAATATGTAATTAGGATATTATTAAGAAATCTCTTACCGTAAATAAATAGTTGGGCTGCAATTTAAAAAAAATTGTAGACCTATAAATTCCCACTGTCGTTCGTTCGTCCGTCTGTCTTTCCTTAATCTCAAGAATGAAGTTAGATAGATGAAAGCTGAGACCAGATATGGAAACCTTGGAGAAAGAAGGCCCCGATTAACTATATAGAAACTTCCGATACAGACTGGAAGTAATGTTATTTCAATTCAAAACTTTCCCTGAAAGGTGTTAGATAATCGGCATGATTCTACTGTTAAAGGAAAAGAATGATGTACAGGGGCAAGCCACTACTAATTTGTGGTGGGGAGCGTATAATTGAAATTAAATAAATTTAAAATATGATTAAAAATCGCAGCACGGCATGGTTATTATGTCACAATAAATAATTGCTCGTTTCAAATGTATTTACGTCCGACCTTAGCAAATGCGATGTCAAATTGAGTTCATTAAAAATGCAAAAAAACAAAAATTAAACTGCTAAAAATTTATATTGTGCACAATTTTACCAATTTTAAAGTCTGTAGTTAGTACGAAACAGGATAACAATTTTGTTTTTTTTTTTTTTTCGTAGGGTTTTTAGACTTTTTTCATTCTTTCCTGTGAGCAATAGGGGGCTTTCAGGTCCATTATGAGTTCAGATTGGCCCTTAATAGGGCGGCCTGGTAACAAGGGACGGGGCCTCGAAATATCCGAGACAGACTACCCTGAGAAATGTCTGAATGTCCGAATTCGATCGCGGCTCCTCCAGATCTGTAGGTTGATGTCTGGACTCTGCTTGCATTAAGAAATCATTTAATATTAAGATAATGATTGTAAAAAATATTATAAGAAGATTTTTCATAAATAAATATGAACATCCGTGATATAGATATGTTTTAAGAGAGATTTTTTGGGTAAAGCGATCATTATTCTTGAGAAAATTTTTAGTTTTATATTTTATATTTTTAGAATTCAGCTTTATAAACATAGAATAGAGATCAAACACAAATAAATATAATCTAAAATTAGAAAAGAAAAATAATTTCCAACGAAAAATACGAATACAATTTTAGACTGAGAATGTAGGAGTAATGAAATCAGATCAGACATTTAAAAAATAACCGAAACGGTTTTCAGATTTAGAGCAACATTAACTTTGAATTTTTTAAAAAGTTTACAACTTTACATGAAAGACAACAACCATTCAAAACTAACAAAATATGCATTGAAATATTTTTATTTTTCAGAATATAAAGCAGAAAGGAGATCATAATTCGGAAGAAAACGAAAATAAGGAAGATAAAAATGAAATGCTTTTATCTAATGAGGCAACTTTAGGACAAAGTAAATCTAAGAAAACTTTAGAAAAACCAAAAAACCACTACGGACGATTAGGAGAACATCTAAAGGAATTATGGATACAACAAAATATGTCTGACGTCGTTCTAAGAGTGAATAAAAAACTCTTTACAGCACACAAATCGGTTTTGACTTGTTATTGTCCTTTCCTGAAAAGACATCTTCTTGCTAGAGGAAGACAGGGCATTCAAGGGGTTCTTATACTGCTCATATTCTACTTATTTAATATAAAGTATTCATGCCGCTAATATTATTATTCTTACGTATCGTTGCAGATCGATTTGCAAAATGTAGATCCCGACTCTTTCGAAATTCTTCTCAATTACATGTACACGGGCCAATTAAATATATCTTGTCAGAATTTAGTCGACGTTTATAATGCTTCACGTAGCCTAGAAATGGAAGACGTCTCCGAACATTGTATCAAGGTAGAAAAATTCTAAATTTAAGAGTTATTTTTAAACACTAAGATTAACAGGGATATACACTGGCGCATTCTAGATGCTGATTAACCAGAACGATAATATCTCTAGCAAGTTGTTTCTTTATGCCACAGCCAAAAAATTGGGAATTCAAAAGGTTTCCCAGAGGGCTTACAAGGCTATACTGTATAAGTTCGATGAAGTATCGGGTACAAATGAATTTCTCGATTTAGACGTAGAACAGTTGTGCGAAATTCTTAACTCTGATCAAATAAGAACTCATAGGTAATGTTGTTGCAAAGGATGTGTTTCGCGATTTTTTAGAATACATTTATAACGAAGTGTTTTTATATTTAGCGAAATAAATGTATTTCTGTCTTCGCTAAATTGGCTCAATTATAAATTCATCGAAAGAGAAAAACACATTGTAAGAGTGATGAGTTGTGTACGATTTCCATTGATGACAATGGAAGAAGTCCTGTCTTGTTATCATCCCCCAATTTTGCCTGGAATCGTGGAATTTCCGGAAGTAGAAAACATGCTGTTGAAGGCTACTTGGTGCGCATTAATTCAATTTAATATTATTCTTAAGATAAAGCAATTCAAAATTACTTCTCTATACATAATTTTAGCTTTATCGCGGCCAGAACAGAAGGAAGAGAAACAAAATTCCACGAATTTTCGTGTCCACCTCGCGTTTTTACTTGCCGTTCGCAAAACACCGAGAAGGTAAACTATATATACAATCTAATTAAATAATATGTCGTAAAATTTTGTATCTAAACATAATTATAATTTTATTATTTTGGAAAATTCACGAATGGAAAATATAACGATTAAACAATTGTTGCTTAGAAAATCAAGAGAAAATTGCAAGGCACAGTTAAAAAATCTGTAAAAATCAGGAACGTTATTGAAGTACAAAGCTTTCTTCGTGCTTATTTTGCCAAGAAAAAGTTAAAAGAACAAATGACGCAACGTGAATTTGCTGCCCTTATTGTTCAATCTTATCGTAGAGGATCCACGACAAGAAAGAAATGGAGACCGTTTTTAGGAAAAACAGAAGTACATTTATTGTTAAGTAGTTTATATTTAAATCTATCTCGAATTAATATATTGATTTTATTAAACTGTGTATAAATAGATTCCGGGAGAGAAAATAAATCAAATGGAAGGACCCCTTTGTGATCCATGTCTTCACGTCTTATTACAACATCCGTCATCCACCACCTTAAACAGCATTGATTCATCTTCAACTGATAATAGTTGCATTAACATCCCTAGAGTTTACGGTGAGCTGAAATTACCAAATACATCCGTTATTCTGGCAATCGGAGGTATAAATCCAAGCAGAGAAGAAGAGATTGCTAAAGGTATAAAATTGTATTTATATCAAATTTGTAGACAGACTGCTTACATTTAAAAATGTTGTATTTCAGGAATTATTATTCTTCGCTACGATCCAATAGAGAACATTTGGGAGCAATGGGATAAAATGCCGATTCATCGTCACCATCACTGTACTGTAATGTTTGAGGACAAGCTTTATATTATCGGTAAATATTTCTTGGTACAGGTCCATATATGATATAATTGCATGAATTAATCGAAATAAAATACACAGGAGGATGTGATGCCAGAGATACAATGTTGAGATATTTGGTGCCCTGTAGAAGTTGTTTTAGGTATGATTTGAAGGACAACGAATGGAATAGAATTGCTGATATGAAGCATGCCCGTTTATACCACGGGGCAGCCGAAATCGATGGAAAAATATACGTAGTGGGAGGAAAAGACGACAATGGAAAGTATGCATATTTAATTGTTTCCCTCTTTTGTTTACTCTATTTCTCTTCAAAGGTCAAAAGTTATTTCTTTTTCCGGTAGACTTCTTTCTTCTGTCGAATGTTACACACCAGCTGCCGATTGCTGGACAGAACTACAGTCCTCTCTATGCTGTGCCCGCATGGCCATGGGCATTGCGGTTCACAAAGATCTTCTCTGGATTGTAGGCGGAATAATGCAACCGACTGAAGAATCCAAGCCTTTTATCAACAAAGACGTTGAATGTTTCGATCCCATTTGTCAATGGTAAGCAGATTATGAATTTAAAATTTATAAACGAAATTAATAATTGCTAATTATATTTTAGTTGGTTATCGGGTATATCGAGACTACCTACACCTCGTAGTTTCGCCACACTCGTTCAATGTCAAGACCTGTTGTACGCTATCGGCGGAACATCTCGAAATTATTCGTCTAGCGAGTCCTCTTTAGAGAGTATCGATGAAGTACACGTCTTTGATGATGTCAAAAATCAATGGACACTTTCAAGTAGTCTGTCGTATCCCCGACATAACGTTTCGGCAACAACTTTAAGTAATAATAATTATTATTTAATCAATTTGAACGGTTTCTGTTTTTAATGCCTAATTATTTTAGATGATAAGATATATATTTTGGGCGGAGTCTCTACCATGCAAGCGGATCCTCTGAGGGAATGTTGCGTTTACGATACATCTACCAACACTTGGATAGAATGTGCTCCTTTGCCAGTTCCTCTGTCCGGACTTTCTGCTGTCGTCTTATATCCATCGGAAGACTAAAATTTTTCAAATATATAACGATAATTTAAAATTTACTAGATTGATTTTAACTAAAATAAAATTTTAATTCAATTGAAGCGGTATTATATTAAAAGTTCAAATCATTAAAATATACTACATTGATGTAAATAAATAATTTTTAAGTCGAATGGAATTATTTGAATTATTTAATTTATTTAATGTTAAATTTTTTAAAATAATGAACAAAATCTCGGGATAAATGTGGCATTTCCTCGATTAAATTCCGGGAAATGAAGATGATAGAAAAGCATGGGAAACACGTTCAAGTACCCTATTGCACTACATAGGTAATGCAGTTTAGGGTGATTGATAATACGAGTTTAACTAAAATTCTGCCACTTCAAATTATCTAGAGACGGACTTTCTATTGCAAAGTTCAGGAAACAGTTTTTGAATTTTTTTGAAATAAAATTATAATTATTGTCGAAAATCGCGATCGAATTCTTTAGTCGAGAGATTATCAGCCGAGGATAATTGGGAAAATTCGAATTAGATAGGTGAATTGAAGCAGAAAATGGTAGTTAAGATCTTGATTTCTACAAAGACATTGAAGCAGACACAAATGATAACGAAATAACCGAATTGGAAGGCCGGATGATAGAGCGGTCAAGGTGGCAGTCTGCCGCTTCTGGGAGACCCGGGATCGAATCCAGACAGGTCAAAGATCCCCAGGAATTTTTCGAGGATGGTCCATCTGGATATGTTGGGCACCATCACCCAGCAGCCCTATTGTGAGCCTGGCTAAAACCATAATGGGCTTGCTAAAAAGAGGTCTCTTAGTATCCACCGGATGGAAAGAGTGAAGTATAAAAAATATTTTTAAAATTAATATTAGACTATATAAAGAAATTTCTTAGAAAACGGACACTGATAAATTTTGATATCAAAAAGATATTCACACTAAAATTTTATGCGTATCGCATGCGAAGTGCTCTATCTTTCAGAAAATAGCTTTTAATATTAGCGGAGACGTAGAGCGACTTTAACGAACGCGCCCATAGTCTGCAGCTTCTATCATTAAAACTGGCAACAATTCAAAAGTCGTGTATATGACGTCATTAAAATTATTGGAAAGCACATGCTTCATAATTAAGCGAGATAATTTTAATATTATTTCATTTTATGGATATAGAAAAATTAAAAAAATGTAATCGTTTTAAAGCTTGATAAAAATAATTGACAATTATCTTGTAGTACACGTGATTGCATGATGGAGTAGATTGGTTGATAAGAGGATTTAGGTTTTTATGATTTATAATGCCACCTTCCCAGGTAAAACGATATTAAGAGTAATACGAAATATAAAAGACATTCGTTGTAAACCTTATAAAATTTTTGTATAAACAGGTATTAGAATTGAAAGAGAAAGGAAATGAGAGTTTGAAAAAAGGCAATTATGCCGAAGCCATGATCCATTATACCCATGCATTGAAATTAGATCCAAGTAATTATCAGCTTTATAGTAATCGATCTTTGGCCTTTCTTAAATTACAGCAATATTATTATGCATTGGAAGACGCTAAACAAACTATAATTTACAAACCAGACTGGGCAAAGGTTAGTATCACATTTTTAATAAAACGTTTATGCTCGGTATACACGTACAGTACATATGTGAACTTTGAATGAGGGATTTGTCACCCCACTACAAGCAAAAAAGTCAATGGAATTGTACCAGTACATGCAACCCTTTGTGAGATAATTGCTTCCAAAGGTATAGAGATGTATGTATGCATATATATGGGATGCTTTTTTGTTTTTTCAAACCAGACCAATCTGTCTCATTCTTTCATTTGCATGATCTGGAATGTAGCCAGAAATTTATGAGTGTGGATTACCAATGTGTCTGATGGCTTGCTTAGACTTAAAGGTAAGGTAGGCCGCTGTAAAATCTCTGTATAGTTCGTGATCACTAGCAAGTGTGGCTTACCGATATGTGGATTGCATTTTGTATGTGAGCCATTGAAACGTATGACGATGCTCAATAAATAAAGACTAAACGAGAACAAGTATTAGATTTTGTTTTTCTGTTCTGTCCAGTGATTGACTGCTTATGACATTTTTTTTATATTGTTTACTTTTAAACTTGAGTGGGGTGGTGGTGGTTTTGGAGAAAAAGGGATGCAAGCATGTTATTGTGGGAAGTGCCATCCTGTGTGGATACAACCAAGATGATGATTGGTCTCATTATAGGATTTGATAACTTCACTTTTCTTTTAGATTATCAACTCATCTTTCTCCTCCTACTTTTTTTACTTTTCACTTATTTTTCCTTCTGAAAACATCTTGGAAAGATATAATTAGTTTTTCGTGTTTCTCAAAAACTGATTATTACTGTGTATTTTATTGTTTTATCTTGTATTAAGTTATATTAATTTGTTAAATATTACTAACTTATTTTTAAATTATAATTTAACACCTTGTAACAAACTAAGGTTTATGGCAATAAAGAATTATTATTATTATATTTTTCTTTCCACTACTTTTCTTAGTAGATTGTTTCTTAAAATATACAAAAAAAAACTTTTTTTTTCCAGTTTATTCTACAAGATCTCTTTCTTCATTTATTTTTAATATTTTTTCATTTGTAATTCTTTCAGTCCAGGTTATCATCTCCAGTTCCTCTTCATAAAATTTGAATAAAAGTTTTATAGACTGTTTATTGAGATATGGGCTACATCTATAAATTAGGGATTAGAATTGAACCTTTACATATACAAGATATAATTGTTTGACATTGCAAATGTAGAATATGCAAGCTAATTAAAAAATGTATATATATATATATATATGTGTGTGTGTGTGTGTGTGTGTTATAAAAATTATTACATTATAAAAAATATATTTTATAAAAATATATACAGTAGAACTTCTCTAACTCAAACAACCTTAACTCGAATATTTCTTTAACTCAAAGAAAACGAAGCACTTGGTAGTCTTAATGGAACAGCTTAGGGATTTAATGTCTCCAATTTGAATTTCTTAATTCAAACAGTCTGCAAGTTGTAGCTTTTCATGGTCCCACAACACTGTTTTATGTTACTTTCAACTTCCTCAACTTGAATTTTAATATTTATTTTATCCAAAGTGATCGTTAATTATCAGATTTTCATGAAATTTTCAGGCAGTGTACTCTCCAACAACAATTTTCAGACAATATTCCAGTCCAAAATGAGAGGTCCTCTTGTTTTATCTCAACAAGATGTACAGTATGTGCAAAACTGTTTGATTCCATTAATTACATTGAATGTTTTGCTGAAAGGCATTGCATGGGCTCTTTAAAACAAAAAAATACTGTCAAAGATTCTTTATAAAATGCAAATCTATTCAGAATAGGCATTTTTTACTCTATTATTCTTTAATTTGAATTGTTGGTAACTTGAAGTTTTTTCCTGCCCTTTGAAGCTTCAAGTTAGGGAAGTAACTTATTCTATTATTTAACAGAATTTATATTAAAAAGACCTAACAAATTTGTTATATTTTTCATAAGTGCTATTTATATCACTGTTTAAAAATTGTTGAAATGATAAACCTCTATTATCAACTGTTAATATTTTCAAAATAGATTTATTCAGTTGAATGTTAAAAGAAAAAAATATACAATATAAACAAATAAAGCAAAATTACTAAGTGTTACACTTCATTTTGTAAACAATGTAAATCTATAAATTGAACAGAAACTTTTTTATTGTACAACATAAATGTTAATATAAAAGCCAATAATATAATTTACTATTGATACTATTTTCTGAAGTTAAAAGATTAAATGACATTTATTTATTTAAACATAAGCTGTTAAGCTGATAAAATTGTGCGTAATTGTTTTGTGGAAAAGATGAAATGTAATTTTATATTAAGTTTTACCATTTACTTTATGAAGTAATAAACTTGTTTTCAGACTACAAATCTTTTTAACATGTTCTGCATTCAATAAATTTATTGTTTTTTGATGCATTTTTTTATATATATAAGAAAGCAATAAAAATAAAAAAATTGACTTAAATTAACAATTATTAAATATTGTATACATTTAATATGTACAAACTTATTATATATAATTCATTTTATAATTAGTTCTACAGGGTTACTTCAAAAATTTTGTGTTGATTTGTTTCTGCAGTAGATTTGAGTTTAATTTCTTTAGTTTCACTGAATAATTGATTAATGATATTGCTGATGAAGAAATCTAACAATTTACTATGTATTTGGTTAATTTACTCTTGGCATAACTCATTATAAATTATATATTATTTTGATGATTCATTGATGCACATTAGGCTGCAGTTCTCAAATTGTGGACCTATAGGTTTTAACTGTTGTTCATCTGTAATAACATCTAATAAAGATGTTGTCATCTGTAATAACAGATGAACAACATCTTTAAAAATTAATCTTGAGACTGGTGTTAGATAGATGAGAATCAAGATCAAGTATAGAAAGCTTAGGAGCTGGATGCCATAATTAACTGTATAAGAACTTCCAGTCTGGACTGGAGTATGATTTCAGTACATAAGTTTCTCAAGAATGAAGTTAGTTGAAAATTGAGACCAGATACAGAAAGCTTATTTTTAAATTAAAATATGATTAAAGTAGCAATCTGGCATTGTGACAGTAACACAATAAGTAATTATTTGCACAAGTAAAACTTACTAATATTACATCAAATAATATATAGCAGGTGTGTGATGCAATCATACTGTTAATATATACATGATATAGTCAATATTAAATTCTTTTTTGTTTCAATGTGGATTATATTTGGTTTTGTTGTAGTTAAATAATTATGAGGTTCTTTAGGAATCTGTATGTGGGATCATTCATAAATTATGTATTGCTATTTTTATGCTTTTCAACTACCAACCCAACTCCCATAATGTTCCAGAATACATACCCACCCCCAAATTTACATAATGAATATCTTCAGTCAACACTCTTAGTTTTGATAAACAGCATGGAGTACTGAATCTTATTTTACGATTTCATTAATTATTGCTACAAAGCATTTAAGTAAACAGTATGATTTACTATACAACTCTGTGGAAACAAAAATGAATTATTCTGTTGTCCAAGGGTTAAGATCTTAGAATTATGTAACATTTTTGTAAACACCCTAATCTTCTGTAATACAGTGGACCCTCGCTTAACGAGCATAATTCGTTCCAGAATCTTACTCATAATGTGAAACACTCGTTAAGTGAGTTAATTTTTCCCATGTAAATTAATGTAAAATATGATAATGTGTTCCATGCCAAAAAAAAATACTCACATATTTTATGTATAACATTTATTCAAAGAAAATTATACACTATACATTGTTAAGGAGTGTGAATCATCATCTTTTCTTCTAGCATGGGCTGAACCAATCTGGAATGCAAATTTGATTTGCAGAAAACAAAAAAAATTGAAATACAGTAATTTCTAATATTTAATTATAGCTTTTACATAGCCCAAGAATTTGGCATATCGTTTGCCATGTTTATTATATAACGGGCTATGGTTGTTGATTTGTTGATGTTTATATGTAATATGTCTGAACACAAGTTTGGAAAAATGTGTGATCACAAGCGACACTAAAATGCTAGTGGAATGAGTGATAACACAGACTGATGTAGCATGCGCACAATCAGGGGCTTACCCTCTCCTCGTCGTTTGTTATGCGAATCATCGCTCATTAAGCGAGTCATTTTTTTACGATTTGTTTTTGCTTGTTATGTGAATTACTTGTTATGAGAAGTGCACGTTAAGTGAGGTTCCACTGTACATTGTAATGATTATCTGAATACCCACCCATATCTGCACTATGTAATTTATGGAGAGTACCTACATTTGTAAAACAAAGAATAATTAAAATAATCACATTGATTGGCTATGTGAGAGATAGATATGTATGAAAAAATTTAAAAAGTAAATGTTGGAAGGTAAAATAGAACCACACTAATGAGACTATATGTGTTGATTTTATTATCATTAAGAACAGTAATTATTTTCATCTCAAACACAAAAGTTAAGTAATAAGTATATAACTGCTATGTTAGACTTGTACTGTATGACAGAATATAGATCATGTAGATGAAACTGTTTCTGATTAGCTGTGTGTAACATTTTTCTATCCTATTCCTTTATATATATAATATTAAAAATTGATTAAAACATTAATTAAAATATATATTCTATACATCAAAGATTTAAATCTTTAATGTATAGAATTTTTCTATAGAACACTGATTATTTTTATCAGTATATGGTGAATAAAATTTATGTAAATTTTCAGCAATAGTAATGAATAGTTATTTGTTACAACTTATATATATCCTATGATTATAATTTAAACTTTATTATATTTTATTTTAAAATAAATTTGAGAATTAATGTCTTTAAATTATCAAATATATCAATATTTATTAAAATTAAAATCAACATCTGTAAACATTTTAAAGGGTTATTTTAGGAAAGGAGAAGTGGAATTTCAAACAGAACATTATTCTGATGCCATTGAATCATACAGGGTAAGTTCAATAATCGAATTTCTTTTAATATTTAATAAGAGTATAATTTAAATTTCCATATTATTTCAAAAAGGTGTTTGTTTAATAGTAATTGATTATTCAACTGCTCATTTTAGTTTTGCACTTATTACTAATAAATTAGATTATTATTGTAAGTTCATTAGTCATAATGTCTGGTTTTGTCCAGAAATTAATTTCTATTCAAAAATTTTCTCCAGAACAGAGTTAGTTAAATGACTGGCATGACACACTTGTTAACAGGAAAAGTATGATGTACAGGGGCAAGACACTACTAAAATCAAGAGAATTGGGTGTCGAATCTAAAAAGTTACAGCCCTGCATTGTGATGATACGACAATAAATAATTGCTCATTTAAGAATATATTTTTTTCATAAGACAAGCAAAATAAATTTAAAATATGAAAATAATCTATAATAGTTTGTTATCTATAACTAGAGTTGTGTGTGAAGAAATTGTCTCGAAAAAATCATTTATTACAAAGATTTCATACTTTAAATTGTGCATGTTGATTTATGAAAACTTGATTTTATTCTTATATAGTTAGTATTTGAGCAAAATGTCTTACATGACATACAATCAAGTTTTGATAGAGCACTCTTGTAAATAATGCCATTCTTCTTATGATTGAATTTTCCTCAAAAGTATTAAATAGAGAACCTTTCAGTATTTTTTAATTACCAAATATATATAATTTTGCATTGCGAACAACATTGTTATTATTAACATTCAAACTCAAATTTGTCTGTGGGCTTTATTATTATACAGTCAAACCTTGGGCCTTGGTTCAAAATACCTTGGTTTTCAAACAATTCAGTTTTCAAACAAAAATGGCCATATTTGCTCTGGTTGCTATACAATAACTTAGTTGCCAAACAAGCTACTCTGCAAGAGCCTGACACAGATTAAAGAAACTGAAATGGTCAATTTCATATACTTTCTGTGTTAAAGGAAGTCAATGGCCTTGACCAATCAATGACAGGACTACTGATTCAGAAGTGATTGGCTCTGAGATTCACTTCATGTCATTATATGTCTTGATATGAATCATCGATGACATTGTTATTTAAATTAGATTTCAATGGGCAAGCAAGTAAGATACTACTACTGTTTTTTGTATGCATTGTAATTGACTTTTAATAAAATTAATTAATAAAAACTGCATTAATTGACATTTCTGTAATATAAATGACATCACAAATTTGTGTTTAAAGGTGCTTAACTCAAATTAAATAACAAAGACTTATTAATATAATATTATATATTATAATAATAATATTTAATTTAATATTTATTAATACTAGGTTAATACTAGGCCAGTTAATTGAAACTAAAAATAATAGAATTTTTGGTTTTACACCAAACTGAAACTAAAATTAAAATAAAATCAAAATTAATTAATTAATTAAAATTTAAATTAAAGCAATTGAAACATAATATTTTGGAAAGTGTGTATAAAGTAGTAGTTGTCTATCTTGATTGATTTGGTTTATATTTCATCAAGGCTCTATTTATGGCAATTTTTTTGTAAAGTGATGGTTTCAGTTTCTGTTGGCGGTGATGGAATGTTTTGCTTTTAATATGCAGTGGGTGATTAGTTAACGAACAGTTCGGACTGTGAACAAATCGGACAACGAACACTTTTGCGAAAGATTTTTATGTTTAGACAACAAACACCCTCCTCACAGAACAAACACAAGAAGAAGTGATGTTGCATTTAAGATTTGTAAAACTGTATTTTACTGGCATCTATAAATGATTTATGGAACGAGACTTTCACAGTTATATACATAGCCTTTTTTGCACTAATTGATTTGATTTCTGTTCTCTGAATTTTTGTAAGTACTTTTCTGAACTTTTTATTTTAAAAAATTGATAAGAATATGGAGTCTATAAAGAGTGGAGTGTCAAGAACTGTGTTCATCACAGAAACTAGCAAGAAATAATAGCCAAGGTAGAGAGTGGGCAGAAGAATTCTGATGTTGCTAGGCAGTATGGCTTCAACAGATATACAGTAGGCACAATCTTAGCTAAGAAAGATATAATCAAAAAGATTCAAGCAGATAAAGGAGTAATGAAAATCACATCTGACAAACAAAGATGTGCCATCCATGAAAAAATGGAAAGGTTGCTTTTAGTTTGTTATTACATGTAAATAAACATAGTAAGAAATATTTTACTTATTTTTTGGGGTCTCTGGAATGAATTAATCAAATTCCCATAAAAATCTACAGTAAATCGATAATTGGTTAATGAACAATTCAGGTAGCAAACATTGTCTTTGAACAGATTATGTTTATTAACTGATCACCCACTGTATATATAAAATGGATATACCATATTTTGACGAGTATAAGTCGCTGTCAAGTATAAGATGCACCCCTATTTTGAGACAAAAAATTTAGAAAAAAACTTTTTTAATGGGATTGTCCAAAGATGCATTTTATTAATCATAGTGGCCAAGAAATTCTTAAATTGAATCACTGCTATCTACCGGTAAATTACACCCATTAGGAACATATCTATGACGTCATTAATGACTGATTTATCATCCCTTTCTTCTTGAATTCCCGAAGTATTGACTGAATTATCATCATCAGAATCTTCATAGATTGCCTCATCTTCTGTACCATCCATGACGATTATTTCAGTTTATCGATTTATCCATCGTCATATTCTTGAATAAAAAAACGAAAAAATACTTTATTAAACTGAAATAATCGTCACTTCTTAATGTAAACTCAGAGGTCACGTGATGACAGTCCACAGAACATGGCTGCGATGACTCGTGTGTTGGTACTCTGATAATCTAGGTACTCTAGCCATTCAGTTGAGGGACCATCTACCTAACGGACCACTGCACAGGTTGGTCCCTAGAGTGGACCACTACTGTAGATAATTTCACTGTAAAAATGGTTACCTGTCGAGTATAAGACGCACCATGATTTTGAGCCCCAAAAAGTAGTAAAAAAAGTGCGACTTATACTCGTCAAAATACGGTAGATATAGATAATGCATTTGTGGGCATTTTTAGGCATGAAATACAGCTAAAAAGGTAAAAACAGGCTTTGTTTTGGTAGTCTGAAACAGATTAACCTATTCTGTATTGTTTGTGTGAAAATTTGTTTCAGTTTGAGAACAAATTGGTTTTCAAACAAGTTTTAGGAATGAATTAAGTTTGAAAACTGAGGTTTAACTGTATATTATTTTTATTATTTGAGATTTTTCAGTTTAACCTGCATACTTGATTTAGTACCAGTTTTATGAGGGTCATTCTAAAAGTAAAGAATGTTTGTTTCTCTAGATATTTTTATTTAAGATAATGAAACAAAACTTATTTTACAACATATATGATACCTTAGCTATATGTCTACATAGTCGCCATATAAATTTAAACATTTGTCATAGCGTATCATCAGCTTTTCTATGCCTTCTGCACACTCAGTTACTGCCAAATTCTTTCTTGAACCAGTCATTAACGGCCTCTTTCAGTTCATTGTCACTTCCATAGCTATTCCTGGCTAAAAAATCCTTCAATTTTGGGAAAAGATGTAATCACTCGGAGCCTAGTCCGGGTTATAAGAAGGATGTTCAAAAACTTCCCACTTAAACTGCTGAAGCAAGTTCTTCGTCAGTGCAGCAGCATGTGGATGTGCATTATCCTGAAGAAGCACAATGCCTCTGGACAACAATCCCTACTGTTTGTTTTGAACTGAAGTTTCATTCATCACATTACCATAAACCTCAGTTATCTGTCTGTAAATTTCGATAGGGTGGACTTTTTCGCATTCAAAAAGTGTATTACACTACGAACCTCACACTTGGTGGTATCTTTAATTTTGTCACACATTTCAAAGTCACACTGTAAACAGTAAATGATCGTTCTGGCTCGCTGTTAGCATCAGACTGGCGCGAAAACATGGGAAGGTTCATGACGCCGCAGTTGAGGGTGGTGGGAGAACTGAACGGCTTGTCAGATCAAAACATTCTTTTCTTTTAGAATAACCCTCGTAGAAGTGAACAAATGGTGGTACTGAATTGAAGTTTGACTGTAATATATGCTTATTATGTAAAATCATGCAGATTATATTTCAGTGTGTGATGGACTTTTTTTTAAGTATCTTTCAAATGCATATTTATTAATAATCTAGGGAGAATGATCACCAGAAAATGATGGTGTTATCTACATTATTTACTTATAGTACTATTAACTTTAGAGATAATGGACATAAATATACTCAAACTTCACATGTCATATGCCACACACTGGTATGAAGAGGAAATAATACTGCTTTTATTATATGAAACAATTTTTTTTTAATTTTTAAGTTAGTGCTGTTTTTTAATTCCTCAAATAACTTGACATTATAATAAAATACAAAACTGTTAAGAAGTTTTAGTTGTAAATATTCTGGATATTTAATAAATTGTTTAAACTTCTTTATATTTAACAGTTTATAAAATTCTGCCATGATTTATATTATTCTAGTAATAGAATTGAAAATTTCAATTTTTTATTCTTAATGTAAGTAATAATACGATAAAAAAATATGTTAATTATTTATTTATTTTTTATTCAATACATTTATTGAATGAAAAAATAAATAAATAATTAACATCATTATTGTAGTATTATTACTTACATTAAGAATATATAATGCATAAAATATATATAAATTTCATATTTTTAATTAATATAATGTATAGAAAGCACTACAGTTAGAAGACGATCCAAATTTAGTAGATGCTATAAGAAAAGCAAAACGTGAATTATATTTGTTAAGAAAAGGTAAATATGTTAAAAGTTGGTAAATATATGTCTTGATTTAATATTTCTCACAGATAAAGTGATAAAATTCAACTAAAATTTAACTTAAAATCTTAAAATTCATTCATTTTTATATTACCTTATGTATAGATTATTTAACATAATTTTTAAAATAGCTGATGTTCAGTATCCATGGATCGGAGCAGGTGTTGGTTTTATATTAGGAGCATTGTTAGTGGCTGCAGATATTGTTATCAAAGAGGAATCATTTTTACAGGTATAATAAGAATATATTAAAATAATAATTTATGTAAATACTATAATATTTATTAGTGTAATAATAAATATTTTGAAAGCTAAATGACATAAAAAGTTTTAAGATTTTAAATTTGACATTTAGTTCCATATTTCATTTACTATAATTTCATGTGGATAGACTACAGGTTTTTTGGGTTTGAAAGTAGATCTGACTGTGAGTGTGGGTTGTGTGATGATGCAGGATATTTACTGATTTTAACTCTTATTTACACTTATCAAACAATTTTTCTTTGCCTAAAGTCTCCAAGAGCATTTTTAGAAAATATGGAAAAATTTTTCAAGTGTTGCAGACATCTGTCAAAACATCACTGACAGATGACAGTCATTTCTGTCATTCAATTTTTCTTGAAACCATCAAGTACACATATATATCTCGTCTTTAGTTCTCTTTTTTGCATTTAATGTTGTTATATACTCTTACTTGAACTTAATTTCTAATAATTTACCCTCTCTATATAAAAACTCTAGGAGAGAATTTAGAAATTTCAGTTCAGAAGCTGAGAAATTAACTTTTGTATTAATTTTTTCTGTTTAATTTTTTTATAAGTATATTTTAGCATATATAATAAAAATATTATTATTATTTGATAAAGAAAATAAAACAAAGTTTATGATTAAAAAAACTGTATCATTCAGTAGTCGCTTTAATTTTCCACTTAAAAAGTTTAGTAGTATCTGTTTCACTATTCTGTATTTCTGATCTACTTATTTTAGAACTACAACTAAAAGAAACTGCTAACAAATAAAACATAAAGAAAAGTTTTAATATCAGATAGTACTTTTAAACTGCAAACTGATAAAATTCATGCTTTTAACTTTCATTATGGAGGCAAAGGGTAGTGTGAATTATTAATGGGTTATTCAAAAAATCTTTGAATAACTCATGCCATTCTTTACCCCATAATGTTATGTGACCTTTCAGGTCGTCACCTTTTTAGTGCCCTGTCAGGATTGACACCATCGTGTTTATCAGAACACGGAAGCCGAGACAGCAATTACTATGTCACACTGTTGTGCGAGTGGTCCCGTAAGTGGACAGACGGATTCGTAATGTCAGCTGATCGAGAGACAGCATATGGAAGTGCCTCGAATTACAATTAACACTTAACAAGGATTTAATTAAAAATAAATTGGATAAGATACAGAGGTTCTAAGTTTTGTCGCGGAGAGAGAGAGTTCACATAACGAGTGCAAGTTGCATAATTACCTGGTGATAAAAGGTGATGGAGCTCTCGTTGTTAGATAATAGTTCTGATGGTGATTAGTTCCAATATAATATCCACTAGCACAATGATGGCACCAACGTATCTAAATGGGCACTGGTCGACGATATTCCTGGCGTAATCAGTGCAGGTTTCCTCTGACGGAGGGACAGACAACGACTGACTTTTTTCGGCCGTCTCTGGCGATATTCACGGATGATATCAGCCGTCCAGAGGTTAAAAGATCGCGAGAAAGCGTCGTGTTGCCTTCGAGAAAATGTAATGGGAGACTTTCTCAGGTAGCTACAAACATCAATTGTTACAAACTCAAACAATATTAATATTAAAGTCTAGTTCAACTATAGGAATTTCTGCTACCTCACAGTTATGTTAGTCACAAAAAATCAGGAAAATATGAAATTAGAGTTGGAAAGTTAGGGAAATGGAATATGATTTTAATTTGGGAACCATAAAATTGTATTATTTTGATTTAAAAACTGAAAATATCTTAATGATATGTTTTGATATATTTAAGTAATATTGTTAGTGACAGGATTTTTTCTATGCCCCTTGTCATTACTGACAAAGTTTAATACAACAGTAAAATTTTACTGATCACTGATTACCAATTTTACTGATGCATTTATCTTTCCAAATTTTGAGATTTTATACTATGCAATTTTACTTGATATAATCTAAAGTAAAGTACTTTAGAATGTATGAAGATGCTATAATTTCTTATCAAATAGTTTTAATGATTGAAACAACATATCTTGTCCTTGCAACCATAGAATTACTATAGAGAAAGCAAGATTTGATTATGAAATTTAAAATTCTTTATAATATTTGGTTTCTACATATATTGAAAATTTTTTTAATAATGATTTTATATATATAATAGAATCAAAAATATACTAATTATTTTATGATAAACTTGTAAATTTGTCTTCTGTTTTGAATTTTCCTGTTTTAATTAATATTCATATTTTATTTATGTAATTTGTTTCAGTTCACTGTATTTTTGACAGAAGTTTTTCAAAATTTTATTAAATCTAAGATGCATTTAAAATTTATAAAAAGATTTTTCTTAAAATTATGAAATTTGAATTTCTTAAGATAATTTTCATTTTTTAAGTAAAATATAAAATTTTTTTATTACAAAAAATGTAATTGTAATTTAATATTTTCCTGTTTTTTTTTCCAGCATCCATTCTTAAAAGTATTACTTATTGTTGTGACAGTTTCTATTTGTTATGCAGTAACAAAATGGCATAGGTATTACAAGTTTTAATCATTTTATATAAATTTTAAGTTTTTATATGCAAATTTTTCTGTAAATTAGTTGTTAATTATAATTTAATGAATACACACTAAATTCAAACTATTGATTTTAGATAAAATTATTGAAAATAAAATAGTCTTTTGTTAATTTAAAGATTAATATTTCAGTTTTTTAATTAAGAATTTAATATTGTGATTCCTAGATTATTTTACTAAAAAAGTAAAATAAAACTGACTACACTGTAGAATTTTCATAAATGAAGAGATACATGATAAACATAACAAAAAAACATTAATAAGTACTATTCCTCTGAAAAAGTTGGATTATCAAAACATTTTATTACATAGGAGGAACTAAAGGAAAGAATTGTTGAATAAAAGAATGGTAAAACATAAGAGAGTTATTGACAACAATAATAATATGTTAGAGAAATTAACATTAAATGAAAAATTTGAGATGGAATGATATGAAAGCAAAGTTTTATTTTTTCAAAAGATAATAAAATCTTATTTCTAGCTGAAGTCATTTTAATTAAACTAAGAAAATCATTTAAAATATAGGGTTATTCATAAGTCTGTAAAACATTTTTAAAATGTATTATTCATAAATTACACAACAGATACTATATTTTTTAGCAAAATGTAATAAAATAAAGGTAAACTCTCAAAGTTTTTTCAGAACAGTATGCACTTGTAGTTCCTGTGATTTGTTGCTAGGAGGCAATAGCAGTGAATATGGTGTTAAGCAATTGTGAAAAGTTATTTTATGTGTTGGAATGAAGGTTGTTTGTACACTGCTCCTCTTTTTGGATGTCTAGAGCCAAGTGAACCATATGACAATCAACAGTGTGGCAAGTTCTCTGAAAGAGATCGAAGTGCTGACATGCTTATGTGATTATTGGCTAGATGTCTGCTGCATCAGCAAAGGTGGACACATTGAGCATTTGTGACTCAAATAAAATATCTTGGCAAGTTTATCTTTATTTTAGTGTTAAAAAATATAGTGTGTTGTGTAGGTCATGAATAATAATTTTTAAATATTTTTCACTGGCTTATAGTATATTAATTAAAATACTTGACAGGTTTGCTGTTGTCTACAGTTAAAAAGAAAGAATACTTCATGTTTAATTTATTCTTTAAACAAGCTTTATCTTGATATTATAATTGTCTTGTATCACTTAAAACAAGTTTTAAAAATTCTCTTTATCATAAATTAATAACAAAATACATTTATGTATTAAGGATGTTTTGTAAAAAAGACACCATAGGCGTTCCTGACAAAGCAAGAATGCCACCTAGCATAGCACAAAGTATAGGGTTTTCTGTTTTATTTTTTTTAATACTATGTGGAAAAGTTTTGACTGTTGAGCATTAATATCTTAGGGATTTTCTAATATTAGGAATTGTTTCTCTTCTCAACACTATGGCAAATGTATTTGAGGTATGTTGCACTAGCCATTGGAAAACACAGGCTTATGAAAAAATTAATTACATTTTCTGTTTTATGTCATTTTCATTTTATGTTAACATTTCTTTCATGCTGCTTAACAAGTAGCATGAAAGAAATGTTAACATAAAATGTAGGACCAGTAACCAGTCTATCAAAAAAATAGTGATTGAGCAATACTTTCCAGGTTGCTTGAAAGAAAATATTTTATTTATCCAAAACTACTTCACTGAAGTGCAGTAGCCCCTCCCCATGATTACTGTTAAAATAATTTGATTATGTTTGCTTTGTTGAAATGAAGGAAAAAGAAACACTTCAAAAATCCAATAAAAATGAAATAAATTATTTACAAGGACATTTTACTTTACTAAGTGTTTGAAATTGGCACTCTGGGACACTTGGCAATATGAAAAGCTAGCTATAAATTTTTCCTCAACTCCCACAAGCAGCTCTGCTTTATCTGTATGGAAGCATCAATTATGTGTATTTGTAATTCTGTGGCATTTGCAACTGCTGTTTGGAAAATGCTTTCTTTTATGTAGTCCCAATAAAAGAAATCAAATGGTATCAAATCAGGAGAGTGGGGAAACCAAGGATATGAACCTCCTTGGCCAATACACATGGCTGGAAATGTGGTATTCAACCATTCTCCGACTTGAATATCTCAATGGATGGGTGCTCCATCCAGCCTGTGTTTTTCCACAGCTAGTGTAACATACTTTAAAGATATTTGCTACATTGTTGACAAGAGAAACAATTCTTAATAGAAAAAGATCCATATGGCATTAATGCTCAACAGTCAAACATTTTTCACATAATAATGAAAAATGACAAAATCCTGTACTTCATACTATGCTGGATGGCATTCTTGTCTTATCAGGAGATTTCATCATTCTTGTCCCACTAGATTGAGTAAAAATTCACCATAGGAGCCTATGGTAAATTTTTACTCAATCTAGTATAATTCTGTGGGTTGGAGGTATAGGACACTATGTCCATTTTTGGCCAAAATGAGATTATTGGCACAATCAAATGGGTTTCTTGTCCTCTACCCAGAGGTATACAACACTATCTCCTACATCAAATATTGGCTGAGTTACGGTGCTGTTAAATAACACCAAGTTCACTTTCACTTTCATACGACACCATCTGGACATCGTGTTGTATACTTAGTTCACGCTAACGCCACCAGACTGTGCATAAGTTCAGTCCAGTCAGTTTTACATGTTATTTGACATTGTTATCTCCAGTGAGTGTTTAGTAAGAGTTAAGAATTACGAATCCAAACTCTTGTGGTTACAATATTATGAAGTTACTTAAAGGCACTAAGCGTACTGTCTCAATAGGTAAGCTATAATGTTTTCTACAGTTTTTATATTAGTGAATAATGTGGTTACAAACATAATCTAACTTATTAGGCATTTGTATGTCAACAGACAAGGAACCATTATGTGGTCTGTTTTGTTTCAGAATCAAATACTAATCCAACTAACTATCAAAATATTGGCAATGAAGAAGATGTAGGAGAGTGTTTGAGTTACGACGAACAGGATGATTCCAATCGTGACAAAATTTATGAACTTTCAAGTGGGACAAGTTCTGATTCAGATGACAATAATAGTATACGTAATCAATCAAACAATAGGTTAAAAAACAAAAGTAATGTTTAAACTGTCGCAAATGAACAACAAATACCGAATTTACTTGAGGCAGATTTATACTTAAGCAGTGATAGCGAAAGTGCTGTAAGAAGTCGTGCAGTTTTAGAAAAGAATGAACGTGCTTGAAGGAGAGTAAACAATAAAACTAATATTATACAGCATGGTAGAAAGTGTGTAGTACATGCTGACGAATGGAAATGTAACGTCCGTAAATGCAAATTAGTTGGTGGGAAAGAATATGTAAATAAAAAAGGTAGGACTGTTCCTGCTAAAGTACTGCAGCCTCCGTGCATGTGTAGGATGAAATGCTCAGAAAAATTGCCTGAAAATGAAAGACAAAAGATTTTTGATTCATACTGGTGTGAGGAAATGTGTACAGATATGAAAAGGAAATGTGTACAGATATGAAAAAGATATAAAGATATGAAAATTTATTTGTGTGTGTGTTGAGTGATGTAGTACAACTCATTCAAGAAAAAGAGACCTAACATCAAATAAGTGTAAAGAAAATACTCTAAGCTACTATTTTACTGTACATGATGTATGAGTTAAGGTGTGCAAGGTTATGTTCTTGAACACACTTTCTATCTCAAATACAGTTGTAGTAAACATTTTAAAAAACATTGAGGCAAGTGGAGTAGTAAAAAAAAGATCAAAGGGGTAGACAAACTCCAAGCATAAAAAACCTGATGAAACCATTGAACATATCAAAAGACATACTTCTTCTTTCCCAAAATATGAAAGTCACTACATTAGAGAACAGAGTGTCAGGGAATATTTAGGAACAGAACTAAATATACAAAAAATGTATGAACTATACATAGATGACTGCATTCAAAACAATATTGATCCAGAGATGAGGTAAAAAATGGCTTTACTCAGAAATCTTTAATAAACAGTTCAATTTGTCATTCAAACCACCTGAAATCGACACCTGTAATACATGTGATATGTTTCAAGCAAAGCTGAAAGGTAATCTGACTCCAGAAGAAAAAGAATCTCTTCAAGCTAAGCATACTGCTCATCTTAATGAATCAAAAAACAGATATAATCTAAAAAGTAATGACACTAAGATGGCAAGAGGAACACCAACACACAAAGTGTTAACTGGAGACCTTCAGAAATGTTTGCCATCCTCACTCATATCAAACAGTATTAGTTTCTATAAAAGGAAGCTTTGGGCCTTAAATTTTAGCTTGTATGATGCATCTGATTCCTCAGTTCACTGTGTGATGTGGGATGAGTCAAAAGGAGGGCGAGGCAGAAATGAAATTGCATCAGCAATTTTGAAATGGGCAGATAGTGTCATACCTGACAGTGACGTGGAAGAAATCACACTTTGGACAGACAACTGCTATGGACAAAATAAGAATGTGAATATTATAATGTGTTTTTTCTGGTTACTGAATAAGTATCCACAAATTAAGATCATAACTCAGAAGTTTCTACTAAATATGGAGGCTGACAGTGTTCATGCATTGAAAGAGAAGAAATGGAAGAAACTGAATAATATGAGCATTTTAACACCCTGGGACTGGCAACAACTGGTAAGACAAACTTCCAGCAAGTACATTGTTCATAATATGGAACTTCAAGATATTAAAAGTTTCAATTCACTGTATGCCACAAAAGACTCTACAAGCACTCCCCTTGTTCATAGGAAAATGGATATTGAGAAACAGCCATTTTTTCTATCGAAGTGTGTGCAATTACAAGTGAAACAGCAAAACATGGGAATTCTGTATTTCAAAACATCTTTTGATGGTGATGACAAACAGGCTGACTTTGTTAGGTTCTGCAGATATGGACTTAAATTTCCAGCAGATTTGAACCAACTCTCAGATGTCCCAAAACCTATTTCTCAGCAGAAATATAATGATTTAATGGCACTATTGCCATATGTCCCTTCAGTTTG